TATATATATATATATATATATATATATATATATATATATATATATATATATATATATATATATATATATATATATATATATATATATATATATATATATATATATATATATATATATATATATATATATATATATATATATATATATATATATATATATATATATATATATATATATATATATATATATATATATATATATATATATATATATATATATATATATATATATATATATATATATATATATATATATATATATATATATATATATATATATATATATATATATATATATATATATATATATATATATATATATATATATATATATATATATATATATATATATATATATATATATATATATATATATATATATATATATATATATATATATATATATATATATATATATATATATAACATTAATGCACATCAGTAACTCGCTAGTAACTTATTTAATGTATGTTCCTGTAAGAAAACATCGTAAATAATTAAAAATCCGGCGAACGCAAAGTTCATAGGTCTGAGTTCTCTGAACTCCTTTCAAGCGTTGGACTTCTTCATTCTGATTGCATGCCGCCTAACCGCGTCATAGCTCATTACCATAAAGTTGACTTGATTTCAACTCTCCTCGACGCCCACACCAGCGGAGACGCGCCGCACTGCTCCTTGCCGCTTATCGCCGCCAGCTCTCATTGAAAATGAATGACTTCCGACTATTTTGATGCTCTCACCACTTTCGGTGTGAACCAACGGCTATACAATCTTCATAAACTTAAAAATAAGGTGATAATGTTCTTGGTTGTAATCCCACTAGGAAAGTATGTACCTCATTGGTTTCATCTTGATCGTATTTCACCAGAAGCCTCAAATTCAAATGGTTTATTCAATTTTGCATCGTTTTTGGGGGCTAATAGACTTTCAGTGGTTGAACTTAAATGGCTTTGCATTATAAAAAAAAAATGTTTGTAGCTTTGCAACGACAAGATTACTCCTTAAGATGTTTTATATAGCAGCTCTTTAAAGTCTGCTTCTATTAAACCACAAAGCATTGTTTCTACAGGTTGGAGGCGGAGGAAGAAGACATCATTTCCAGCTGTCTGGAGGATTTGTGTCTGCGCAGCCTGTCTAAAGAGCCCAGCGTGTCCAGCAATCAGATGATCCCCTGCTGCCGGCGTCTGATGGAGGAACGATCTCCTCAAATGCAAGGTCTTCATCTGTGTGTGTCGCATTTCTATTCAGTCATGCAGGACGGGGATCTGTGTATTCCCTGGAACTGGAAAGGCTGAAACATATCAATGAGCTTTATATCGGATTACTTTACCTCCCGGGCTCATGTAGTACTATTAAAAATAATAGATACTGGCCTAATGTTTAGGCATAAATATAAATGCACTTTTGGATGTAGAGTTCTACCACAAAGTGTTGATGGTTATCAGGCAGTAGGGCACTATGATGTAATGTAACTTAGCACTGAATAGGTTCTAAAGATTTGCACAGCTAATCACACACATGAACATTAGCATAATAATCCCTTTTGTGTTTTTTTCACTGCAGATTAAAAATTAAGTCACTATTTACTCACCCTCAAGTGCTACCAAATAATAATAATAATAATAATTCCTTAAATTTATATAGCGCTTTTCTGGGCACTCAAAGCGCTTTACACATGGGGGGAATCTCCTCATCCACCACCAAACCTTTGTCTTTTTAAACGAATATATAAACTATTGACTTTCATAGTAGGGAAAACAAATACTATTTCTAAGTCAATGGTTACCGGTTTTTAACATTTTTCAAAATAGCTTCTTTTGAGTTTGACAAAAAAAGACACCCAAGCTAAAGGAGGAGTAAATGATGACAGAAATTTCTGTTTTTTTGTGTGAACTTTAGCTTAAAGCATTTAGTGTGTTCCAAAAACAGCTTTTGGAAATGCTGATAATTGCGGAAGTTCATTTTCAGCATAAAGCAAAATAACAATATCTCACAATTCTGACTGTGAGACCTAAATGAGCACTTGCGGATATTATTTAAGTCACTATTTACTCACTCTCAAATGCTTCCGAACCTTTATGTCTTTTCAGAATATATTTTGAACGCATATTCAGAAATATGTTACAAATGATCAACTATTGACTTTGATAGTAGAAAAAACAAATCATATGAAAGTCAATGGTTTCCGGGATTCAACATTTTTCAAAATAGCTTCTTTTGTGTTTGACAGAAGAAAGACACCCAAACTGGTTTGGAACAAGTAAAGAAGGAGTAAATGATGACAGAAATGTCAGTTTTTTTTGTGTGAACTATCGCCTAAAGTATTCCAAAAACAGCTTTTGGAAATGCTGATAATTGCGGAAGTTCATTTTCAGGATAAAGCAGAATAACAATAGAAAATGTGATCGATCTCGCAATTCTGACCTTTTTACTGTTCCGATGTAAATGAGCAGTCCTGAGAAGAAAATCTCAATTGTGAGAATAAAAAGTCGCAATTACACTTGTTTATGCTCGACAAAGAAACTTTTTTTTTCTGTCAATCGTCATTCGGATTTTCTATCTTGCAAATATTATTTTAGTCACTATCTACTCACCCGCAAGTGCTTCCAAACCTTTTTGTCTTTTCAGAATATATTTTGAACACATAACATAATCAGAAATATGTTACAAATGAACAACTATTGACTTTCATAGTAGAAAAAACAAATACTATGAAAGTCAATGGTTACCGGTTTTCAACATTTTTCAAAATAACTTCTTTTGTGTTCGACAGAAGAAAGACACCCAAACTGGTTTGGAACAAGTAAAGGAGGAGTAAATGATGACACTTGACACATACTTCTGTGAAATATCCCTTAAAGTATACTAAAAACAGCTTTTGGAAAAGCTGATAATTGCGTAAGCTTATTTTCAGAATAGAGCAGAACAACAATTAAAAAATGTGACCGATCTCACAGTTCTGACCTTTTGTCTGACGGATGTAAATGAGCAGTGCTGAGAAGAAAATCTAAATTGTGAGAATTAAAAAGTCATAATTAGTCATGCTGCTGCTTGGTTCTAAGATCACATTTGCACAAATACTGGGCCATATTTATTTTCAAACCCTGCTTTTGAGAAAACTACAATTTTAAAATGATTTCCAACCAGCCAAAGTGGCTAGTGGGAGCGGCTATCTAACCCGCCACAGCTGAAATCTATTTGTATTTGGCGGGTTGGAGGGTGTTAATGTCAAGCCCTGATTATTTGTATTATTGCTTGCCAAAAGCGTTATTAGAATTCTCACAATCTTTTTTTTCTGGAGGGGTAATCGCTCAGATGCGAGTTTACATTTGAATAGTGACATACAATCTCAAATTGTAAAAAAAAGGCAGATAATTGTCAGATAAAAAGTACTTTTATGAAATCACTTTTGTCAGAAAACTAAGCTTCCATAGATCATAAATTCATCTCTTTTAATCTTAAAGAAACAGGGAAGGTTTCTTTGGATGCAATTTTGGATTTTTTTTATGCACATTGTTGGATTTGGGGTCTTCAGTGCAGCGTGCCACTGCAGTCATGGTCCAAATGAGTGATTTCTTAAGTTTTTGTCATTTCAAACCTGAATGTTTCTTAATCACAGAAGATAAACGCATTTCTTACGGTAACACTGACTGCCAAAATCTAAAATGCACAGTCGAAATACTTGTTTTCTGCGCAACTACAGAAATGAGAGTCAAAAAGATTCTCTGAAAATGTAGTGTTCTCTTCTGTGTGTACATTATCAGTCCTGAATGCTGCAATGGTGTCTGTCCTGAGACGTACAGTATATCTGTGTTGTTTGCTGCTGTGTTAAAAGTTTATAACTATACGTCTGTATGCCCAATAAATAGTGAACTATGTAAAAACTAGGTTTTAACCATGGTTCCAGTTTGAATGATCACCATTGTCATTTTCTACATGTTTGCTTTGGCATGTTTAATGTTGGACAATTCTGTGAATTATCCACTGTAATCAACACCAATAAATATTATAATTCAGATGTGTAATATACTCATGTCTGTAATATGTTTTTATCTTATTAATTAGAGTAAAATTAAGTTTCGCTAGTCTCTCTGTGGATAGCACTGTCGCTTCATAGCAAGAAGGTCTCTGGTTCAAGTCCCGACTGGTCAGTTGGCATTTGTGTGTGGAGTTTGCATGTTCTCCCTGTGTTGGTGTGGGTTTCCTCCAGGTGCTTCGGTTTCCCTCACAGCCCAAAGACGTGCACTATTGGGGAATTGAATATGCTAAATTGACCGTAGAGTATGTGTGTGAATGAGTGGGTTACAGCTGGAAGGGCATCCACTGCGTAAAACATATACTGAATAAGTTGGCTGTACATTCCGCTGTGGCGACCCCTGATGAATAAAAGGACTAAGCTGAAGGACAATAAATGAAGGAATATTCTCTCACAGGACATCACTAGTTTGACACTACTTACTCACCCTCGAGTGGTTTTAAACCTTTAGGAATTTCATTCTTCTGTTGAACACAGAAGAAGACAATTTGAAGAAAGCTGAAAACCGGTAACCACTGGGCAACCTGGTAACAGCGAAAAAAGCCAAACTGAGGTAATCGTTGCGTTCATTTTAAAGACGAAATGCAGCCATATGTACCTCTGGCTACATAATTCTCCCTCTCCAGAAATACTCACAGGGGCACGTATTCACAATGAGCCTGTGTTGATTAAAAGTGTCCATGAAGATACAAAATCATTAGACACAATGACTGAGAGACTGTTTAGTCTACATGTCACCGATGAGAAGATGAAGGCTTGCTACTGTGTGATGAATGAAATCGGGAAATATTTGTAAACATTAAGTATGCACTACAGAATGTTACGTTTTCAATTACATGCACAAATTTTATGTAATCAGTGCTGCATGAATATGATTTGTGGCATTAATTGCTGGACGATCGTAGCTTAAAAGTGCATAACCTAAGCATTAACATATTGCCACAGCTAGATTTACTCTGATTTTGCTCCACATGTAAACGCTATGGGTGTAACGGATCATGATTGATCTGTGATTCGTACGGATCCCAAGCCATGGTTCAAAACACATGTGACCCGCGGATTGGGCTAATACATTTTTTACTTGTGGGTTAATCCTAAATTTGTAATGATTGCAGAGAGATTGCCTCTCGTGTAATTCAAATCACATGTATAAAGACATTTAGGCTTTTGTGTAAAATATAATGATGACAGAAAAATTTGTGGTGGGTTATTCGGGATGTGGTGGGTTTCTTAGGTTATTAAAGGTGTTTTCTGTCACTGCTTGTTTAGCCTGTATTAATGCATTCAGTGTAAGCTGCAGGATTGATCATTAAAAGATTGGGATCTCAACACCCACACAACATAAATTATAAATGATGGTGATTAGCATATGTTTACTAATCCTTTGAATCGCTGCATTCAAATCTGTGCTTGAAAAACGCAAAGATCAAGAAAGAGATTCAATCTTTAGTTTACAAACAGTGAAATAACACAAAAGTACTGGGATAACAGTTTAAAGTTTAATTTATTTACGGTTTAATTTAAAACACAATTTAACACAGCCTCCACGCTCGATAGTCAGACCAGATTCAGACCAATGACTGTAAAAAATATGGACGACGCAACAGCCCTTTTTCCCATTGAACGCCTTGAGGGCAAAACGCCTGCTTGACGGGCACAAACTGTCGCAAAAGACTGCTGAAATTGGAGCCTTGACATGCGCAGAAGGATTGTTTGATGGAGCCAGAGGAGGAGCCGCGAAAATGAGCAGAGTCGAGCTTCCAATCAAACGCTTTATGTAAAATCAACTACGCCCCCCGAACTTCTCAGCATGCGTTTGCTGTCATATCAACACAAATGGATGTAATAACGTTAACAAATATGAGGGTTTTATATATTCAATCGCGCCAGCTCCAGGCCGCAGCGCATAACTTACTCGCGGCGTCGCGGGCTGATTCCGGCTCGCATGCGGCAGCGCCGGCTCGCTCGGCCGCCGCATCTGGCTCAATTGACTCGGGCTGGAATTGGGTAGTGAGTCCAGGCATCCGGAGTAGGTCCAGCAGAGGTAGTCAGTCTGAGGGGTAAGAGATAAGTCTCCGGCAGGCGAGAATCTAGCCGGAACTGTGTTTTGCTATCTGGGTGGCTAGGCGTGTATCAGCAAACTAATAAAGCCCGAAAAAAGCCCTGAACTTAGCGAATAAACAGTGTTCCACCAGGATCATGTATGTCAGAAACTGTAGTTTACTGCTGAACTCATTTTGTCATGGTAAAATAACACAGAAATCGAATAATAACATTTCAGTCTACTTCAGTCTCCTGCCGAAGCTCAGACGCGCTGCTTTGAGAAACTGTCAATCACAGCTGTCAATCACGATGACACGCCCAGCATTAAATTACTGCTAAAAACAAACTGTTTACAAAAATGAAGATCTGCACCTATTTCAGCTCAATAATCAGTGCCTTAATCAACCAGAACCATCTTTCGGGACATTTTATTGCAAGTGTAATATTTTTTTTTATTTGGGCTCAAGTCTCCTTCATTAACACGGAGGAGGCGGGCTTTATGACTTGTACTGCAGCCAGCCCCCAGGGGGCGATCTAACGGCCGAGACCCTCACTCAAAAGCAGGCTTGCGGCACACTTGATTCAGACTCACTCCTGTTGGTTCTCAATCTGGCAACCTGCGCTTGCGTTTGTTTTGGTCCAGGAATGCAATACCTTGTTTAACCACTAGATGTCAAACTTGCTTACTGCTCCTTGAATATCAGACAAAACCTAAATTAACTTACCTAATTTTAATTTCACCACTTTGAGACAGTGAGCTGCTCCAAAGAAACAAACTTTCTGTCCAGATCAAGCCAGAATATTGCGTCTTTACATCTATTGCATTTCGAGAGATTTTAATTTTACAATCACTTTATTACCAACAATTATCATAGTGATTTTATAATTTTTAAAAATGATTACGTTCCACCACACTACACAACCTTAAATCATTATGCAATTCTGATTGTGCGTTTACGTCAGATACTGCTGAAGTGTGGAGCGTGAG